ATTACTACACTATAATATACATATATATTATATTTTTTTATTTATTGACATACCAATAGTCGCAATTTAAACAGGAGTGCTATCCGATAGTTGCATATTTCCGAATATGCTATAGTTTCTAATTTGTGGCACAGCAAGAAGTAGGAGGATTATTTTAAGGATAACTGCTAAAATTATTGTCTACAAATATTTAATTTCTTTTATTGAAAAGATTAGATTAGTCAGATTTATTAATTAGTTTATTTATACACTTTACTATTAATGAGGTGTTCTGAATTAGGTATTCAACAATTTCTTTTTATTTATTTTATTCTGCACACAGATCAGGATATTTAGTTGAAAATTAAATGTGAGCCCTTTAAAGACAGTCCATTGCATATGTAATATGAATTATTAATTGCTGACAATATTTACTTCCTTTACAGTACTTTATTGACACAATGGACGCCACTCAACTCACCGAGCTGATGGGCAGTCACGATTTCATGCAGTTGCAGCAGCAGTTGCAGCACAACAACAACAACTACAACACCGATGGCCACAATGGTCTCTCGCCGGAGTCTGTGGAGCGCAGCTCCAGACCTGTACGACGCGCCACACGACGCACCTCACAGGTAAGTAAAAATAAAACATATGAAATGGAGAAAGATAAACGAAATCAAATACAAGGGCTAAATGGATTGCAAATTGTTGCTATTGCAACTGTTCCACAGCTAAGCAATAACACCTACGATCTGGAGATGACCGATTCCAGTTCGCAGAGCGACGATACGAGCGGCGGCGGTGGCAGCAGCAACGGCGGCGGCAGCAGCACCAACAACAACAGCAGCAATCAGCTGGGCCCCGCGCTGGGCGGACAGCGTCCCTCGAGTCGCGGACGGCAGCAGAATGGCGGCAATCTAACGGCCAATGGCAGTAGCAACAACAACAACAGCGGCAGCAATAACAACAACAACAACAACAATCGTCGCCGCAAAGGCGCTTTAAATGCCAAAGAGCGAAATCTACGCCGACTCGAGTCGAACGAACGGGAACGCATGCGCATGCACAGCCTGAACGATGCATTTCAATCGCTGCGCGAGGTCATTCCGCACGTGGAAATGGAGCGACGTCTGTCCAAGATCGAGACCCTGACGCTGGCCAAGAATTACATTATCAATCTGACGCACATTATACTCTCGAAGCGCAATGAGGAAGCCGCCGCCATGGAGCTGAATGCCGGCGCTGTGGGCGGCGTGCTGCTGACGAATCTGACAGCCGACAGCAATGTGGTTGCTGCTGCCAATGGCGCCAGCAATGGCTTGTGCTTTGACGATGCTCTGACTACTGCCGCAGGCGCAGGCGCTGGCGGCGGTGCCTACGACTGTGCGCTGCTCGCTGCCAGCGACGGCACTCTGCTGAGTGCAGCAACGAGCGCCAATGCCATGCAACCGCTGCCCATGCACATGCACGCCGACCAGCAACAGCACCAGCAACAACAACAGCAGCAGCAGCAGCAGCAGCAACAGCAACAGCAACAGCAGCAGCATTTGCCACACCATCATCACACCCAACAGCCGCAAATGTTGCACTCCCATGCGCATCTAGGCAACAACATGCTGCTGCCACAACAGCAGCAGCAGCAGCAACAGCAACAGCAACAGCAGCAGCATTTGCCACACCATCATCACACCCAACAGCCGCAAATGTTGCACTCCCATGCGCATCTAGGCAACAACATGCTGCTGCCACAACAGCAGCAGCAGCAGCAGCAACAGCAACAGCAACAGCCACCGCAGCAACCTACGCTCATACTCAATGGTGGCACCACTTTAAATGTGGGTGGCGTTGCTGTCGCTGTCGCTGTGGGTGGCTCCGGCAATGTGGGCGTGTCTGGGGGCGTGGGCGTGTTTCCCGATGTCAATGATAATTTCGATGAGCCCTTTCGGGAGTTTCTCTAAACAACCGCGAATGGGGCTAATTATGTAGGTCTGTGGTAAAATGGATATAAGTACACAAAATAGAATTTATAGCATACATAATATCCAAAATTAAACAATGGGAATATACAAATAATTAATTGAAAATAATTCTGTAAAAAATTAATTATGTAAAAAAACATTCAAGCAACAACCCAAAGTAAATTATATACCAAAACCGCTTGGCTTCAAAGGGAGCAACAGCTTTAAGTCTAGTCAAAGATCGGGGCTTTGTATCTTAACTAGCTGTCAAAATTAGCAGGCGCTTGTACATCCACTTAATTTTCCACTTAATTTCACATTAATTTTCAAACAGTTGAATTAAAAACTGCTCAAAACGCTGTTAAACTTAGCAACACTAAATATTTGGTTTGAATACAACTGTAAAAGTTAACATGCGTTTTAACATCATGTTAATTTGAGCATTTCCTGAAGATTTTTGAACAAAAAAAAATACACATTAAATTCCTTTAATAAAGGGAGTTGTTCAAAAAACCTCAATAATAGTTGTTTTATTTTAATTAAGTTGCAAAAATAAAAACTTTGTAAAATTGAAAAAAAAAATTATTATAATAATAGTAATAATTGTAATGCCAATAACAAAGCCGACCGTTGTGGTGCAAATTTCAAATACATACGCAATTATTCAAAGTTGTTAATATACATATATATACACACACATATATATTATATTTACCTATATATATGTAATACTTTAAGCTTAAATGTAATAAATATTATTTAGAAATGTAGCTCAGATTAAAGACGCAACAGAAACGGACGAATGGAACACGAAAAATAAATGAAACAAAAAAAGTTGATTAGCATAGCAAAATGAAACAGGAAATACGTAGCTCATATATTTCTATATATGTATATACATACTTATACATATATATGTATATATATACCAATATATATCTATCTACGCATTAACAATTGGCAGCAATAGCAATAGCAACAAAGACGCAGCATCAATTAACGCTAAATAACTGTGCATTGGGGAGGTGTTAAGTAGATGTTGGAATGATGCCGCAATGGCGACCCAATGCGACGCCAGGAATGGAACAGCTAGAGCGACGCGTCGCTTAGTTAATTTACCACCCATGATCATTTTAATGCACTTGAAATTTAGTGTTGTTGGAATAGCCAGCATTGGCGGGGGGTGGCAATGCGGCAGGAGCAGCAGCAGGAGCGGAGCAGGGCTGGGCACAGCAATTAACACACTAAAACCGTTGATAGCGGACCCATTGAAATTGGCACACTTCCGTTGGTGCGTCGCGTCGCAGGTTAGAAAGAGACGGCGCATGGATGACGTGCGTACGGTAAACACTAATAAAAATAACGGTGCCCAATGGGTGGTGTGTGTGTGTGTGGGACTTAGCAATAATTAAGTGAAAAATAGTAGTTAGGGTGGATGTCAACTTAAGCTTGTTGATTATGTTTGATTAGTCAAGATTTAGTCAAGTTAAATGGGATTTGGAGAGAGCTGCTCAAATGCTCAACTTTAGTTGGTTTTTCGATTTCGAATTCCATGTAGTTGTAAGTCTAATACGAGACGATATCGATATTTATTTGTAGGCAAACGGACAAACAGGGCTGCATTTCGAAAAACAAACAAAAAACCACGGAAATTGAACGAAACCCTGTGAACGAGTTCTTCTAGTCAAAATCAGTAAAACAAACTTTAACAAACCCAGTATACCCTGATTTCCCATTTTCAATGGGTTCAAGGTATAAAAAAATGCAATATAGGCGAGTAGTTTAGTTGTGTAGTGAATTATTAAGCTATGTCTATTATAAATCAAATAAAATACAATTTATAAAACAAAGAAATATTGTGAAAGAATACTTAAAATACTTCTGTTAGTCTCAATTTATATAATGTTAAGGATTTGGTCTAGATGAGCATTTGGTGTGTAGAAGAAAATAGTAGGACGTATTTGTACGTACATACATACATATGTACATATATGTATGTTCTACATACATATACATACATACACACAATTCTATATAAATCTGTAAGTGGTGTATATGTATGTGCATATATTCCGGTTAAATTTATGTATCAACACTGTATAGAGTATTAATGATATATAACTGCGCCTAAATAATTCAAGTTTATTTAATAAAGTCATGAAATAATTGCATGTATTTCAAATATTTGAAAACAAAAGTCGCATTATTCATTAAAAAATTAATAGTACTTTTAAATTATGATCAACAGTTTCCATAAGGTAAGTTTCATAAAATTAAATTTGGCATACCTGTGGATGATGTAAAAATTGATCTAGTTTACAGTTTTCTGCTCTTCTCTTCAGATTCAGCTTCAGCTTCATTTTCGTTTTTGTTTTGATCTTTCGATTGCAGGCAACAAATTGCATCATTTTTTAACAGCGTTTTAACATTATATTGCAAAAGCTCGCGACTTATAATATCAGCGAGCTGATCAACATTGAAATCGTACTTAATTAAACGTAATAAATAAACGAATTTATAAAATATAAATCTAATACAAAATATTTGGCCTGCGCTTTGGCCGCGAGCACAACGAAACTATCGACACATTTAAAAATATCGTGAGCAGCAGCGCTGCCAGACAGTTAAAAATACGTACAATGCAATATCGGTGTAAAAGCTAGAAGTTTCAGGCTATCGACAGCCGCCACAATTTGAATTTTTTAATAATAACGGATGTAAATGTATTATTTGAATGCTATATATAATGTTAATTAAATGTTACATTAAAAATTTTTCTATATATTATATTTATAAAGTTCATTGATTTCATTGCACAGCCATAAACAAGAATTTTGTTGAGTCTATCGAGTATGTGATAAACGCGCCCGCTCTCTTTCTCTCTCTCTCAGGCATTAAAACCGCTCTCTGTGATGTGCTCTTTGCAGCTGACACGCAAACCGAGTAACGGACCTGCGCAATGCGCTCCACAGCAATAACCAAAACAAGATTTTGTGTTTGCCTTTGCATTATGTTTTTGCGCCTTGCGACTATAACAACGCGATATAACCCGTCGGGTAAAGAAAAAATCAACATATATACAAGCGCTTTTTTTCAAAAGTAGACAAACTACAGAGTTGTGATTAGTTAATTGCAAGCCAAAGTGAGTATACAAATTTAAAAGTAATTTGCTGTGACTAACTAAGAATAGTAGATAAGCGTGTGTGACAGTGTTTATATGCGTGTGTGTGTGTAGAAATTAGGTAAAGTGCCAGAGGTAGCTGGTGGAGTGCAGTTATTTCTATTTTTCAGGTTCACTGCCTGCTTCCGTTCTACTTAGCTGGTCTTTTGTTTGTTGCTCTTCTTTTATGCTTTTTCTCAAGACGCTGCCAGATTCATTTGAGTCTGTACACACACACGCGCACACATGTATATGTATGTATATATGCATTTATGTATGTTCCTGTGGGAAACTAGTTATATTGAGAGGAACACTGGTACGCAGCATAATAAAAATAAAAACAAAAGCAACCAATAGTTGCATTTGATGCTGATCAAAAATTCCTGTACACGCATACCGATGTCTGCATTTCAAGGTGTATATATATGTGTGTGTGTTTGTATGTATGTATGCGTTTGGATTTGCCGCTTGAGTTCGTTACAGTTTGTTAACCTCTGACGGTAGCCGTTGCCGTTGCAATTGGCATTTGGTCACACTCCGCTCCAATTCGCTTGTTGTTGTTACCACTGCAGTTTTACAGTTGTTAACACTTTCCTCTATTACGTTTTAATTTTGAAATCTAATCAAAAGCTCCCACGCATACACCCACACGCACGCACAGTGGTCAGCTTGTCTGCTCCTGTTTAATACCCGTTAGCCATGTCTATAGGTAAATTTCCGGAATTAGCTGATGGCACGCAACCCACCTGTGTGTATTTGTTGTTTTTGTTGACATGCACGCATACATATATATATATATA